ATAGGTAGTGTAATCGACGGGTTTGACGGTGTTCATGGGGGTTTCGGTTATGGTAGCAGGAACGATGAGGGACGTACGTTGTTTGAATTTTCTACTGCACACGATTTAGTGGTCACTAACTCCTTATTTAATAAGAGAGATGCGAACTTGATTACGTTTCATAGCGGGGGGAATTGTACCCAAATCGACTACATCCTAGCTCGAAATCGGGATCGATGGGCTTGCATTGACTGTAAGGTGTACCCTGAAGAGGCATGTGCATCACAACACAAATTGTTGGTTTTGGTGTTCCGCGTACCGCACGGGCGGAGCACTCATAGGAGAGCTAAACTGGGTAAACCTAGGATCCTTTGGAAGAAGTTACATGGAGCGACAGCTGATGACTTTAAGAGTAAGGTTTTGTCTAATACAGGTTTTGGAACTACAATCTCAAATAATGCAGATTTGTTATGGAAAAATATGGCAAATTCCATCAGAGAGATGGGCAAAAACACCCTGGGGTTGTCGACGGGGAAGGCCAAGGAACATAAAGAATCATGGTGGTGGAACGACGAAGTCCAAACTAAGGTGAAGACAAAGCAAACTTGCTTCAAGGAGTTTCTACAATGCAATGACGACGAAGAAAGGTCGAGAGCTAAACAAAGATACAAGGAGGCAAAGCGGGAAGCCAAGAAAATGGTGGCTAAAGCAAAGGATAAGGCATACGAGGAAATGTACAAGAGATTAGACACCAAGGAAGGACAAAATGACATCTTCAGGCTTGCAAAATCTAGGGAGAATAGGAAAAAGGATCTAGGTAGCATTAGGTTTATTAAGGACAACAATGGTGTTCTGCTAGCGAAAGATCATGATATTAAGAGGGTTTGGGGTAGTTACTTCTTTGGCGTATTTAATGAGGGTGCCTCTCCCTGTAGAGATAGTACCGTTGATGGGTCAGCCGACCATCATACTACGGCCAATGACTGCCCTACAAGTAAGATTGGGTTTGAGGAAGTCAAAATGGCTCTTAGAAAGATGGGAAGGGACAAAGCTGTCGGTCCTGATCAAATTCCTATCACTGTGTGGTTGGCCCTAGGAGAAGAGGGAGTTAAGTGGTTGACCAACATCTTTAATATTATTTTAGAGACTGCCAAGATGCCAGATGAGTAGAGAGAGTCCACGGTGATACCAATCTATAAGAATAAAGGAGATCTCCAACGTTGTGGTAACTACAGAGGTATTAAACTACTCAGTCATACCATGAAGCTATGGGAAAGGGTGATAGAGGCTAGGTTGAGACAAGTTACTAGGGTTTCGGAAAACCAATTTGGATTTATGCCAGACAGGTCTACCACGGAGGCGATTCATCTACTTCGACGACTCATGGAGAAATATAGGGAAAAGTCTAGAGATCTTCACATGGCGTTCACTGACCTTGAGAAGGCTTATGATAGCGTTCCCCGAGATACGATTTGGAAGACTTTGGAAACGAGACGGATCTCAACTGCTTATATCCGGGCGATTCGTGATATGTATTGTAGATCTACTACACACGTCAGGACTACAGTTGGCGACACCGAGGCATTCCCGGTGGAAATCGGACTCCACCAAGAGTCGGCTCTTAGTCCTTATATCTTCGCCTTGATTATGGACGACATCTATTGTGCGACACCAAAACGGTGTACCATGGTGTATGCTTTTCGCTAACGACATTGTCCTAGTTGCTGAAACAAAATCTGAGTTGAATAATAGACTGACTACCTGGAAGACTGCTTTGGAAAAAAAAGGTCTAAGGATCAATATTGAAAAGACAGAGTATTTATGTTCAAACTTCAGTGGGGACCAAAACGATGAAGATGTAGAAGTATGCATAGAAGGACACGTTCTCCCCTCAAAGGATTGTTTCAAGTACCTAGGGTCTATGATACATAAAGATGGGGGTGTAGATGATGATGTAACACACCGTATAAAGGCGGGATGGCTAAAGTGGAGGGCTGCTACTGGAGTTTTGTGTGTGATAAGAAGGTGCCTCTAAAACTTAAGGGAAAATTTTATAGAATGACAATAAGACCAGCGTTGTTGTATGGATCAGAATGTTGGGCAACCAAGAAGGATCATGTAAGGAGGATAGAGGCTGCAGAAATGAGAATGCTTCGATGGACATGCGGTAGGACTCTGTGGGATATGACAACAAACTCTACTATTAGGATGTCCTTGGGGGTGGTGCCTATTTCTGAAAAATTGAGGGAGGGAAGATTACGGTGGTTTGGGCATGTCCTTAGGCGATTATCGTCGGATGCGATCAGGAGGGTAGAGTCGATTACAGTCGACGGTGCCAGAAGGAGATGACGACCAAGGCGTAAGTGGGAAGACTGCTTGAGATCTGATTTGATGGATTTAGCCCTTACCGAGGACATGACCTCTGATAGGAAAGTATGGAGACTAAAGACTAGGGTAGTCGAGTAGTGTGGTCACATCTCTAGGGTGTATCATCTCTGTCTTCTTTTAATGCCTTTGTAGTAATTTCCATGAATTCTACTTTTTATATGTTTCTGTTATTAGTATTTATGAAGGCTTAGAACTGGGCTTGCTATCGTGGACTTCTGTGTAATATTCTCTTCACTTTTAAATTTAGTCGGGTCTTACGTTTCTGTCTATAAGCAGAGATTTTTTCGCAGGGATTTATTTGCAGGGATTACTTCCCATTTCAAACGCGCATATAATATTAATGATATTTATGACTGCATATGAATATTGTTCAACTATGTATTTATGTATTTATTTATACATGCTTTGCATTTTATCTATATTTTTAATTTTCTGACTGCCGGAGGTCTTCCATGGAAGCTACTCTCAACCTGGCGTTGGGGGCAGCCTGCTACCCTACCTCCCCTTACCCCATTGCATATGGGAATTGGGTTTTGTTGTTGTTTGTTGGCATAATTTGCCCTTTTTTCTATTTCTGTAGGAGCAATATTGGGCACCTCCTGGCTTTAAGAGGCTCTTGTCAGCGAAGTTGAAGTATTTAACAGCTTGTGGTAGATTGATTAAGGTAATTTATATGCTGCATGGAAACAAATTTGATGCTACTTTATTACAAGTCATGAAGTCTGTTGTCTGAGAAATCAGTAGATTTCTTGTTTCATGAAATATATTATTTGCATGTGGGTGTGCGTTCTGTTATGATTTTTGGAAACGGTTTAGGATTTTGGAGATGTTGTAAGTGATATACGTGATTAACGAGTTGCATTTGATCTTAAGGTGCACTATGAGTCTGTGTGCTCATGGAATCATTAGAAATTCCTGAAATCAGTAAAAGTGATTATTGTGAATTGTGAACTAAGGTATTACAGTGAATAGGCTGGCTGTCTTTGTAATGCAGAAATGTTTGCAGATTTGTTTTTGTGGGAAATCTAATCTTAAGGACCACTGTTCATCTGTGTGTCTATGGCATCATTAATTTTTTTTTTGGGAAAAAGTTGATTAATGAACTGAGAAGCTATTACGGTATAGCCTGATCACACTCCACTGTCTAATTCACAAATGCTTCTTGATAGTCCTAGTACTGCCTTACCAAGTTCGTGCTAGTTTTCCTGATATACGGTTTTGATTAATTGAATACTTTTCCTTTCAGGTGAAACGCAGGTATAGGATCGCACCAGCTCTGTCATTTTCAGACAGGAGGAGGAATCATTCCACGATATTTTTAGAGGCAAGGCAAAGGGGTTCTCCTCGATTTGATAGGGATGATTTAAAAATCATCACAAAATCTCAGATTGATTTAGAGTTAGCTAGGATGAGGAATATGACACCACAAGAGGCTGCTGCAGCAGCTGCTCGAGCAGTTGAAGAAGCAGAAGCTGCTCGAGCAGTTGAAGAAGCAGAAGCTGCAATTGCAGAAGCTGAGGAAGCAGCAAGAGAGGCAGAGGTTGCTGAAGCTGATGCAGAGGCAGCACAAGCTTTTGCTGAAGCAGTTGTGAAAACTCTAAAAGGAAGAAACTCTCAGAAAGTGGTAAATTATTGTCTATCGTCATTATTTATTTTGCACATGAACATATGCCGATGTAAAAGATATCTGATGGATGGAATGTCATGATGGGATGTGAGAAATACACTGTTTACTTGCATTCCATGCTCACACCCACTAACATAGAATTCTTTGCACAAGGAACATGTATTCTGCATATATGTGATTTCTCATTGCTTGTCATTCCCTTTGAACTTTTTTTATTCTTGGTCATTTAGCTTGTTACATCATACAAAATGTTGTTTGTGGCATATGCAGATGGTTCGATGACTTGACAAAATGACCACTGAGGCGTTTAAATTACTATGTAACAGTCACCCAGTGCTCATCCCTATTTGTAGCATACAACCGGTGATCATTCTTCCTTGCAAGAAGGTCCACTTCAGTATAGTAGATTCCATTAACAGCCTTTCTTGCTGATGGTATCATATGCAGGGATTCTTTCTTTTTGTTTTCTTTTTGAGAATATTTCTGGGATTGCAGTTGATATTTATTCATTTCGAATACCTCTGAACTTGGGACACCGGAGAACATAGAAACTAGAATGTATATGGGGGATAGGAACTGTTTGTTTCCATCTGGGATTTATCTGTTGTGTAGTTCTTTGTGTTCCATGCCATTCTCAATAGAAATGAATTGATTTGATGTTGTTTCCGTGTCAAATCTGTTGTATAATTAGATCTGGATCTTTATACTTCTTGATTTGCTGTAGTTTCTGTGTCAAATCTGTTGTATAATTAGATATGGATCTTTATACTTCTACAAGCAAATGCTAAACAAATCATGATTGTAAAGCTCACTCCACTTACAACACCCATTGCCAATGTAACACACCTATGACAGAAATAATGAAAAATTGACTAATATTTAGGAAAAAGAAGACGACTCAAAAACCCCATGGGGCATATCGACTCAGCGACGGATATGGCAACTCGGCTGACTCAGCAAGAACCGTGATGTAGAGCCAATCAAAATCATGCTCATTTGCTACTTCCATTGGTGACCAATTCTGCCAATTGCTCTACCCTCTGCCGTGACTCGTGTGAACCGAGAAGTGAAGATAGTATTAGTAAGTTACGTTTAGTCTTTTTTTTTAGTTTCGCTTTTACTATTTAATTGGGTAATCGGATTTAGGTTTTATTATTTAGTTGGGTTTAGTTAGTTGAGTTGACTTTGAGTATGATACCTTTATGTTTCAAACCCCCAAAAAATTTGAAGTGCATCAAAATCCTTTTTATTTGTTTACAAACCATCAGCATCTGTACACAAAGGATCAACCAAATTTATGCCCGACTCACCCACCAAACAAATTTATATATAATACTTATGATTCGGCTTTGGTTACGTCAGGTTACCTTTGTTTAAGCACCAAGGTTTTCTTCTTAACTCTGCACTTACATTGCTCCGTCAAATTCTCCTTAGACAAGGCTTCTGATTTGTCTATCTTGTTTCCCACAAAGTAGGGGAATGCCACTTGATGAGGATTTACTTAACAGGTCGTGCACTTCTCTTCTTGAAACTTATCGTTGTCGGCAGCAACAACAACATAACTGTATATTGCAGAAAATCCCAGAAAGAACTAGTCGACTATCAGTGTGAAGATGACATACTGCTGAAAAAATTACCTACACAAAGTGGGTAACAAATATGCATGTTCTACCAGGCAGATATCATATAATCCATGTATGACGTGCAAAAGGAAGTTATAAGAGCAGGTGGTATGGAGTGGTGAGGTTGAAATTGCAAAGTTTGCGGAAAGTAAACAACCAAAGCATATCCTTCAACTTTTTGTTTAGGGCATGCTGAATATAAGCTCACCTGAGAACCGAGTTATATAGTTCCTTCAACTTCTTATTGCCCTCCACTAAAATTTTTGAACTATTTTTCATCTTTCACGTAACAATTTACTGATTGCTCATACTTTTAGCTTAAGATAATTAACTGGGAGATGAAAGAAGAGAATTTACAAGAAACCAGCCTTAGTTGAATGTTGTCAATAAGATGCACAGTGAACATTGTCTACAGAGAGGCTTCTTTCTAAGAAAACAAAGTTAGTTCAAGACCAACAATAAGATAGACTGATAGAGGTAATTAGGATACGAACATATATGAATTAACGAAGAGAACACATTCCTGTGACTTCCGTTAGAAAGCTATCACTGGAAAACGAACAAACAGATTTTGTTTCTAGGAAACGAGAGTCTAACATCCTTTAAAATCTAACCTGTATATTCTCATAACAATTATAATTTTGATATAGGAACAACTTTCTTAGAATAAAGACACATTAAACAACTTATATTTTCCAAGTTCATCCCATAAAGAGAAAAAGCATGAACGACTTACACAAAATAGCTGAAACAGCCCGGCAGTATCTGTCCCACACACTTCGAAACCTTGGTTGACCTTCAAGATCCCATAACTTTATCGTAACATTTCCTTTAGTTACCTTCCTCATATTAAATCCTACCTGCAAACAAAAGAGATGTCACGAAAATAAAAACAAACAGAACCCACCAAACAATAACTTGTAGCATGTGAATCACAAATTCTCAAAAATCAATGTTGGTATCGGCTCCTTGGTTTTTAAAGGAGTAAGGCGTACCGAGACGCAAACTCGGGCGTGCCTAGGTGCGAGGGGCAGCTAGGTACTGAAGATGGCGTCCGCCTGGGATGAGGCGAGACGAGATACAAGAGGCACACACCTCTGGGCTTTAGGCACCGGGCATAGCGCCTTTGCGCCTTTCGGATTTTTTTTAAAGATATTAATAGGAAGTAGAACAGATTAAAGAAAATATAAAAAGATAAAAAAAAAGAATTACAGTAGTAAAAAAGAAAGAAGACGGTCGAAGAAGACTAGAAAACTATTTCTTTTTTCACATTTTCTCATTTCTTAACCCTAATATTTTGACCTATTAACAAGTTCAATCCTATAGCCTAAATTTATTTTCCAACTCTAATGTTATTTATTTATAACAAATTATTATAACTTCTTCCGCCCTTTGTCTGCTTTTAACCTAAATTATATGTTTTTTTAGAAATTTAATTATTTAATAATACATAATTAATTTTAATTTTTAAAACAATAAAATATTAAATTAAATATTAATTACTTAATAAATTTTATTAAATATAAAAATTATTTTTTATAAAAATTTTAAATTTTAAATTGATAATAAAATAAATTTGTATCATTTAAAAATAAATGAAATAATAGTTTTAAATATTAAAAATATTAAGTATAAATCAATAATAGTGTAGATTTTAGTGAAAGGGATTAAAATATGTTTATAAAAATAAATAAAATAATAGTTTTAAATATTAAAAATTAGTAATAAATCAATACATTGTAGACAATTATTTTAAGAGTTAATCGGTGGGTAATAAGTATAAATATACTCATACAAATAATTTATAAACTTTTTAGTATAGATATATTTATAATATAATTTTAAATATAAAATATGTTTCATAAATAATTTATAGATTTTTTAATATAAAAGTGTGCATCGATTACAAAAGGTACGTTCATGCGCCTTGCGCCTAGGCTCAAGGACCTTTTGCGTCTACGTGCACCTTGCAAAGCAAAGGGTACAAAAGGTTTCTGAAACCCAGACGCAAGGCACATGTGCGAGCCTTTCGTATACGAGACATACTATGTATATGATATAGATCAAATGTAAATTATATTTTGTACTCAAAATAACATGATAAATAATATTATAGTTTTTTAAAGATCAAAATATTCATATCATTTCACTATCAAATATCAGCTAATAACACGAATTTTATGTTTACCATTTAGCTATAAAAAAAACTAATAACACGAACTAATATAAAAAAACATAGTTCAAATAAAGAAAAAAACAACTTACAATTTAATCAACCAAATCAACCCATTCATGCTGTGACTTTAATTAAAAAGAAGTAACTCACAAGTCACAATTTAATCGAAAAAATAAAAGAAAACAACCATTCATGCTCTGTATATAGAAACGAAAGAAAAAAAAACAACAACCCATGGACATTCATCCTCTGTTAAGTAGTAACTTACAATTTAATTAAAAAAAGTAATAAGTAACCATAAAACGGAGAAACAGCAGCAACCAAGGGGTGAGTCGGTGGTGGTAAAGAAAGTAAAGAACGAGAAGGGGTGAGTTGGTGGTAAAGAAAGAGGAGGAGGAGGAGCCAAGGAGAGGAGGAGAAGGGGATTACCTGGTCGGCGCCCGGCAGTGGTGACTGCTGTGACAGCCGTGACTGCCGACGAAGAAGAGATCAGCTGGAGTGTGTGCGATGGAGAGAGATAAGTTAGGGATTTTGGATTTTAAAAGGTAGGCTTTTTTAGGTTTAAAATTATAATTATTTATTAATATAATAAAAGGTGAAAACAGATACCATAAGCGATAGGCGCTGCGGCCGGCGCCCTACTCGGAGGCGCCCGCCTCATGGCGCCTATTGTATGTGAGTTCGCCCATACCCAGGCGAGCGATATTTTCGTACGCCTTTTAAAACCAGGAATTCGGCTCTTTGACAGATCACTTACGGTTGGTATCATATCTTCACTATATCAACCAGTCTTGAATGGAGATGGCAAACGGGTCATTTCTATTCAAGTTATTTTAGGTCTAAATTATATTTCGTTTAATTTTATTCATGCCGGGTCATATCTAGTTCGGATCTAGTTTGGATGTATGATAAATCGGATCGAGTGATTATCGAATCGGTTGTTTTTCAATTTGGATTAATATCGGATCGATTGATTTTTGGGTAAAGTCAATATCAGATCAGTTAGATTTCAAGTCGAGTCAATATCGGATCGGTGATTTTCGGTTATGTTAACCTTTAGATTAAGTCAATTTAAGTTGAATTGATTATGAGTCTAATTAAGTATATAGAATTATTGATATATACTTGTAAAAAAAATATGTCATTCTTATTTTTTAATCTTATCATTTATGCATAATTTCAATTCTCAATCATTCAATATTTTTAATTAAACCAATATTTATAGATGATAAATCGATAATTTGACACAAATACGATCCTATAATATGTGTTAGAATTTGTTATCAAAATTTTATATTGATATTGTATAAAAAATTTATAATGAAAACTATTTGATAAATAAATACTTTTTTATTAAAAAAATTATTTCCAATTATAAATTTAAAATATTTTTATTAAATTTTAAAAAATAATACATAACTTTATTTGGTAAGTTTTAGTCGTAACATAAGTAAATTTTATATTATTTTTATTATAAATCTAATATTATTTCCTTTCTTTTGGTTGTTTTCTATTTTTTTTTTAAATTTTGTTATAAATTTAATATTTTTATTAAAAGTAAGATAAGTAACATTTATTTATTATTGTTTTCAATCTTACAATTATATTCTTTTATTTATTATTGTTTTTAATCTTACAATTAGATTCTTTTATTTATTATTGTTTTCAATCTTACAATTAGATTCTTACTTTTTATATTCCTTTTATGTAATAATATAAGTAAACTTTCTATTATTTTTATTATAAATCTAATATCTTTCGGTTTCGGTTCGGGTTACTTTCGATTTCGTTAAATTTTTGTTCAGGTATGATTCGGATCGGTGTGGGCCGGGTATCAAATCAAATTTGAGTATCATATTCGAGTTAAACACCTTGGAAAGCAAAAAAAAAAAAAGACTGAAATTACCGAAACATAGCAGAATTTTCTGTTTCCAAATTTGAGTAGCAAATTTAAGTAGCAAAAAACAAGTCAAGAACACATCCAAAACATTGAAGAATTTTTTGTTTCCAAAACAGAGTGAAAAGACTGAAATTACCGAAAACATTATCAAAACAACTCTCCAAGCCTACGATCCAATTTGCACTATTTCTCCTAAATAAGAGCTGATCAAGAACAACTAATATTAACAACCAAACTCATCTAGAAACATCACAAATGACATCAATAAACTATAATTCTCGGATTTTCGAAAAACGTCAAATCAATTTTGTTTTGAGAATTTCTTATCCAAATCAAATGCAATTGAAAAAATTATTTAGTATGATAATAATACCATCATAAACACCTTAATCAACACAAGAAAGCCTTGAAAAGTGATCAAGAAAATAACACATTAAATACCTTCGAAAATCAAGTTTAATTCACAAATTTCTTTTTAAAAGAATTGATTAATTAAAATCATCAAACATTGGATCATTAATCGTTGAAGCACAAAAAGGAACCTAGGAAAAGAGAATTACCTTGCTAGAAAAAGAGATGAAAGGATGAAGAGGTCAACAATGGCAACACCAAGAAACAAAGGAGAAAATGACAAGAAGAAAGAAAATTGGATCAATCTTGATTGAAGAGAGAAAATCAATATGAAAGGAATAAGAATCAATCCACAAATGAATAGTAATTGAAGAAGAAGAGTTTTGGCTATGAGAGAGCTTTTGGGAGAATTTTTAGGAGAATTTACAAAAGTGTTTGGATGAAATAATGAAGAGAACGGTTAATGAAAATTAAGAGTGAAAATGAGAAAGAATTAATAGAATGAATCTAGCTAAGAAATTGGCAAAAAGGAGATGAAATATACAGTTAAGATTGGAGGGAAAAATCATCCACACAAGCCTTGGTAAAACTAGTTTCATAGATTTTGATTTGTTACCTTTTACATTTTAGTCACTAAAATCAACATCTCCAATTTATTCAATTTAGTCATTTAATAAACATTTATTTTATTATTACTAAAAATCATAATTAATATTTCAAAAATCATTTAAACACTAAATATTAATATTCATAATTTTAAAAACCAAAAATATTATTTTTATCAGAAATCGTGGAAATCACTCGACTACCAACCCGAACTCTCAGGCGTTACAGTTTCATTATTTTCCTCTTGATTTTTTTTATTAAAGAGTGCAACACAAGTGGGTTTCACTTCCTTACCTCAGGTGTACGAAGTTTGGAATACTGTGTTAACTTTGGGGACAACATCCATTTTCGGGATTACACCAATCCAAACAAAATTACTTCTAGGACAGTGACTTCTATATCATGACACAATAATTCATTCTATTTCCTCCCTTATTTGTTTATAACTTGTTAATCAATGCTAACAGTGTTATTGACGACGAAAATGGTAGCATGAGAAGGTTAGGAAATTTAGGTATTGGGGTATTATGATAAATTTTAAATTTTTGATTAAATTAACCCTTATATATGCTTACACGTCATCAATTAACCCCCTAAATTTTAAATTTTTAATCAAAATAATCATTGTTAGATGAAAACTATTAATTGACTAATGATTGATGTATGTTGTTGATGTGATATCTTCATATATGTTTAGTTATTGACATGTCATCACATTTGATGATATGCCACATGCCACATCATCACATTAGATAATGTGGTACATATCATGTCATCACATTAGATGATGTGACATATGACAAATAAATAATTTAGGGCACGTAAAAATATCATATCATCAACATATATTAACCGTTAGTCAATTAATGATTTTGATTTAACAATGATCAATTTAACCAAAAATTATAATTTTGAAGTTCTTTGAGAAAAAGTAATAGATGCCAAAATGATCATTCAAACAAATGTTGGGAACTAAATTTGATATTATGCCAAAGAATTTTGATTGTTGGTCTTTAAAATTTTCTATTTAAATAATTTAAAATGTAAAAATTAATTTAAAATTCAAATCATAGCTTAGAAAAGACTGGTGCAATTAACCCATTTATACATTTATCATTATTAGACTCAAGAAGAAGTTTGTAACAACAGCTTAAACATTAAATTGGACAAAGACAGTACAACTTTCTATATCTTTCGTTACCTTAAAGCTGATTGTAGCCGATAATTTAGCCCCAGGTGAATATAGTATAAAGTATTATTTATTTAAATATTTAATAATAAAGACTTACACTTCTGTACATTGAATGTTCAGATTCGAAATTTAAGAGAATAACAATAAATTCCTCAATGTGATTTGATTCATGCTATTAGAGTTTAGGATAAAGTACACAAATGGTCCCTTCATTATAAGTGTTGCTTTGTGAAGTCCTCGACTATCAAAAGTTACAAAATGGTCTTTTGACTATATGATATTATTTTGTTGAGTCCCTCTACTATTAAAAGTTACAAAATGGTCACCTGACTATTCATTATGCCCCAAACTCGTCATTTTTCGTTAAAAAATAAAGATAGTTTAAGCTAAAAGTTAATTTACTATTTGAGATATGATAGTCGTTTGAGATTCTCAAATCATATTTTATCATATATCAGATAACATATTAACATATAGCTCAAACTACCATCAATTTTTAACGAAAAAAAATTTGGAACATAATTAATAGTCGGGTGATCATTTTGTAATTGTAATAGTTGAGGGACTCAACAAATCAATATCTTATAGTTAGGGATCATTTTTTTAACTTTTGATAGTCAAGAGACTCAACAAAGCAACACCCTATAATTGAGGGATCATTTGTGTACTTTACCCTAGAGTTTAATGGTTATTAAGCTTTAATTATAGGTGGAAAACATTTTGTTTAAGGTAAAAAAAAATAAAATCATGAAGTTTAGAAGATTTATTTACCATTAACATTCATAAAACATATTATTCATTTTATAGTAAATTTTGAAAAGAAAAGATGAGCATACGAACAAGTATTTGACGAAGCGAGATACTTTCACTGGCTCTTGCAGCGGCTTGCTGGTTTGTTGTGCCTTGTGCTCAAAGCACGCGAGCCACGTGTCCGTGGTTCGAGGGCCAGTATCCTCAGCTGAGGAATCTTTCAAAGGGTAAACTACAAGTTGATCACCTTAAGCAATAAGAGGTATTTTCAAATACCTTTATTTTTGCACATATTGTTCAAAATTAAATGTTGATTTCCTACTATTATTATTATTATGTACTTAAAGTTATTCTTTTATTTTAATTTGATTATTTTTAATTCATATATTTCTAAAAATTTAAAATTTTGATCTTGAATTTAATAGTATATGTTAAACATGTTAAGTCAAATTCTATTATTAATAAATGTATTATGTGTACGCTTGTAAACGAATTGAACAAACACGAGTGGAGGTATGTTCATGTTCGTTCGTTTAACTTTAATCAAATAAATAAATGATCACGAATAATTAAATAAATAGAATTTATTATTTGTGTTTGTTCGCTAAAGAATGTAGCTTGTTCATATTTGTTCGTTAAAATTGATTAAAAACATAAACAAACATAAATAATCATAAACAAATTTAAAATATTTAGGGTATTTTTTTTCAATTTATCATGAAATGAAAGGAATAGTGAGTTATTGGGTTAGAAATACATATGTGAAAAAAGTTAGACGAACATAAACGAACATATTACCGAACATAAATGAACATTTTGTTTGTGTATATTTATTTAATTAGATGAAAATAAAATATGGTTCATGTTCATTTAATAATAAATAAACAAATATAAACAAATTTTCCGTGGAATAATTCACGAACATTTCATTG